ATCAAGTGGCTCGGCTTGGACGAAGCGGAGTCGTCCTGGGAGCCAGCATTGTCGATCTATGAAGACGTGCCGGTGCTGTTTCGTCGTTGGGTCAACAACAAGAGCGACGAAGATGGCGTCAGCGAGATGGTCGAGGACATCGAGCGTGCGTGTGGCCACTCTCTGTAGGGGGGAAGTGTTCTCGGCTTGGCCTCGATGTCGACTGCACGTGCGAATGTGTGTGCAGCCGAGCAATGGTCCTGGTTTGCCAGGATGACAGGATTATGTTCCAGGGCTCTAGCGTCCGGATGTTGTACTGCATTGAGTGTGTAGTGGGGGGACGTCACTACTGACTGTGAAGTGAGGGAGGTAGCTTGGTAATGAAGTTACGTTTGGATTTGTCATCGAGGTTGCCGTTGTGAATACGGCAAGCCGTCGGTTACGAACACTGGCGCAAGACAACAGGTCGATGGTGCAGTTCTTTAGTCTCCATTCTGGTGCTTGGTAGTTGATAACCTAGCCGACTGGTTGCTTCCGAGCGCATTTTTGCGACTTCGTGAAAGTATCGAGTGTACTGTTATTGGTGTGAGGGTGAAAAAGATGATGACGAAGACGGGATCGCTGGATCGCGTGGAGGGGGCGCGTGTGTGGCGCCACCGCTTAATCAATGAGGATTGCTGTGGTCGACACTCCCTGTCGTGAATACTTGCGGCCATTGTCATCCTTCGAATGGTTACACCCTCGGCAACCCATTCTGTCATTTCTCGATTCTTCTTCCAAGAGTTGATACTTCTCGGCCAAGGCTCAGCCATGTCATGTGAATTCAACGCCCGGCACATCACGGCGAGCTTCCATTTGAATTGGTAACGAGGCCATGATTTTCGGTTCCGGTTGGTGTGATTACCCGGACGCAGCCTGCAGCGAGATAAGGTCGAGAAATCTCTCTCGGTTTTGTTGATCCTTAGCTCAGCTAACAAAATCCCCTCGTCAACGTACTCCACACATCCAAATTGGTAAGCTCAATTCGAACTACCTCACGTCCAAGGGGAAAGAAGACGAATTAATTCGCGATTTGGCCCGCTACCACCTAGATGTACTCTGCCTCCAGGAAACGCACATACCCGAGCACAAGATCACCCCTCTCGTCACCAAGGACAAGTGTTTCACTTTTTAACTTGAAAGCTGCTGAACCACTAACGTCACTACGTTTCGTTCTTTCAGCTCGGATCAAGCCATTCCTCGAGAGCTCTACCGACCAACTCCCCGCATCGCCATACTAACCCTTAGACAAAACAAACGCTCCCCGAAGTCAGTTGACTTCATGTGCGCGTACAGCCCCCACATGAACTACCCTCTCGACACGCGAGAGAATTTCTATGATGAATTCCACGCAGTTTACAACAGTCTGCCCAAGAGGGACATCAAAGTCTTCTGTGGGGACTTCACACAAAACTTGGCAAATCTCAGCGTACGCTTCCATTCATGGGGCAACATAGTCGCGGCTACAGAAATTCAAATGGTGACCTCCTCGCTGAATTCTGCTCGCCAAAGATCTCTTTGTCGTCAGCACAAAATTCACGAAGAGCACCCGCAACATCGCGACATGTACCTCCAGACGTGGTGACCAGTACGTTAATAATCAGATCTTGTACGTTATCTGCAGCAAGGCACTTTTGGATACACTCCTCGACGCACAAAGCTGGGGAGGACTTCGAATGAAGTCCGACCACAAGCTTGTGACCACCGACTTCCCGTTTGGAAACATTGTGCTCCCCAAACGCATGAAGCCAAAGCCACAAAGTCTCTCCCCTCGCTTCGCACTAACCAAGCAGAATGACGAAGATCTACAGGAACAATTTAACAATCGTGTGCGAGGTATAATCGATCAACAATCAGACGAGCACGAACCGGCCCGACATCGTATGGCTGAAAACAATGAAGGATTATACAATGCAGCTGTGGACACATTCGGGCCCCGAGACAAGAATTCACACTTCCGCTAGAACGACCAAATTCTGCTAGACTTCAGCTCACGCCAAAAACTGCTCTGGCAACGTATTAATGACAAGAGCACAGCTCCTGAAATCATCCCGTCGCTACGCCAAGAACGGTCCCACATTCTCCACGTCATCCGCAGATGATGCCGAGATCTTGCCAACGCCCACCTTGATGAGCTCGCACAGCAGACCAATTCTCTCCACCCCAATAGCCGCATGTTTGCTGCAGTTAAAATTGCCCTGTACAAGAAAACACCGCCAGTCATAATCCACGACAAGCAAGGCAAAACCATTCTTAATGCGGAAAGATAACATCAACAATTACTTCCCACTCCGACGGGCAGTTCCATGACCCCAAGAGAGAAAATATCGGCCCCGATTTTACGAAACGTGTCCTCAGCAACCCCATCCAGCCAAAAGAGCTGCACGATGCCATCAAACATCTCAGAAACAACCGAGCGACCGGCCCCGACAACCTATCATCCGAAATCCTCAATGCCGCTGCACCCGACCTGTGCCCACTTTTAGCACACACCCTCAACCGCAGCTTTGAAGACGGCAAACCCATCTCGCT